GGGTTCCCGGGGGACGGGAGAGCCGAGCGCGGGGCGTCTCACAGGCGCCGGGCGTTCAGTGGCTGAGCTCGGGGCGTTGGATCGCTGCTGGGCCTGGGATGGAGCTGGGGCGGCTGGAGTATCTGCAGGCCCTCGTCACCGAGTTCCAGGTGACAGACAGCCCAGGTAACCCCCGGGCACTGCCGCTTGCTAGTACTCTTCATGTTGAGTGTGCTTCCTCACGCACCTGATGCTTCTCGTTGCAGAGGCCAAGGAGCAGGTGCTGGCGAACCTGGCCAACTTCGCCTATGATCCCAAAAACTACGAGTACCTCCGGCAACTTCAGGTCCCGGATCTGTTCCTTGATACGCTTGCCGAAGACAGCGAGACCCTCGTGGAGTTTGCGATCGGTAAGGGCTGCGCCCGAACACCCTCGTAAGGGGCTGACAGGCCCGGGGACGCCGGGCCTGACACTTCGGTTTGGTGGTTATCTCCTCCCTGAGAGGCAGATAGCAGTTGTGCTGCAAGAACAGACCCATGCTGTGCTGATACGGCTTCGCTGTGCTGATAAGGCTTCGTTTAGTGGAGAACGAGTGGAATGGGGTGAGAGGGAGGAGGCAGGTATTCCCCCCTTCATCCTAATATAGCTGCTGTGCTTAAAAAGATGCTTTCTGGAAAGGATTTTTTTTTTTAAACTGTAAGTAAACATTAGATGAATGACTTTAATAAAATCTCTCCTATAGAGAAGCAGTCATTAATACCTAAATTGTTGCCCTGTATAATGTATAGGCTCAATGTTACCATTCTACTATTAACAACCAGTCTTCCAGAATACTTACTGGAATTTTTTTAACAAGTGCTCTGAGGAACTGCCTTATAATGATTCGTCATGGTCTGAACATAAGCTAAGGGGCCAGATCCTAATTGTGAGAGATTCCATGAGATGATAATAAATATACTTGATTTTTGAGCTTTGTGGCTGAGCTACAGCAGGGTGCGGCTGCATCGTAAAAGCTTCAAGTACAAACATTCTGTGCCTCTTGGCTAGTACTCTTCTCTCTCTTCTCTGTTTTTCTTAAACACCTGCAATAAACTGCTGGCTTGTAGCCTCATTAGGGTTAAGTGATACTGGCGTTCTTCATTCTGTGAAAGACGTTATGTCCAGCGGTACAGTGCCCTCTAATGACATACAGGAGGAGGAATGTTCTGGCGGAAAATCTCTGGAAAGAATCAAGAAAACATTGCCCAGGAAGCCGTTAAGAATTTTCCATCCAAATCTCACAGAAAATCTGGATGCTTATTTCTGTATTAGAAAAAAGGGATCAGCAGTGAATTTGAATCTTAGTATGAAAAAGATGAGGGTGTGGAGGGAAGAGTTTGTCTTGCATGTGTCGGACATTGTCTTTTGCTGTTTCAGGCGGTCTTTGTAACCTGTGCCTGGATAAAACTAACAAAGACTACATCTTGGAGGCAAATGGGGTAGAGCCCATAATCAACTGCCTCTCCAGCTCCAACGAGGAGACGGTCATGTCGGCAGTCACGACGCTGATGTACCTGACAACGCCGCAGTCGCGCCAGCAGACCACGGCTCTTCCAGTGGTGGAGTGCATGCTTCGCTTCTCTCTCTCAGCCAGCAGAAGGCTGAGCAACCTGGCAACTGTCTTCCTGGAGGATTACTGCACACCACTGCAAGTGGAAGAGGCCAGGAATCTAAGCAAACACACAGCGGTGGGGATTCCTCTCCCCAAGGACTGAAGCTGTCCGAGCCGCGCAGAGCTGTTGAGAGGGAGACCTCCCTCTGTTTTCACAGGCCTCCACTTTCTGCTCAGCAGGTCAAGAGTGTGTAAAGAACAACATTAAAGAGAGAAATTGGTCATACCAGCACTGGATTTTAATTAATAAAGAGGATGGTACAGCACTACCATGTCAGTCAGGCCAAGCACACAGCTAAAACTGCAAGCAAATATTTAAAATAAAACAGGTCATGGCTGTTGGAGAGCAGATTGCCAAGTGCAGCCCAGCACCTAGCTTGCACAAATAACCCTTCCCAGCAATTAGGGTTTTTTCCGCTTGGGTTATTGGGCAGCTTATATCCCGTCCAGTTCCTGGCTGGTTTTGCTGCAGCTCTCCTCTTCAGCGTCAACTCCAATGACTTTGAAATGTCACATAAACGTTATTCCTCCTGCAGAAGAAAGAAGGTGTTTCCCTGCCCTGGCAGTTTGCAATCTTACTGTGTCCCTCTGGTACTAAATATGCCATCCTATCATCATGGCATAGGCACCCAGCTAGGAAATCACTACACGGGGCAGGTTGTAGCTATCCTATAAATCGGGAAGTGGAAAGTTGTTTTTCTCCCATTACCACTGGTGAGAAAGGTTAAGATTAAAAAAGGGCTCATGGCACCCTGGCTCATGAGAACAGCCGTCTTGTAACACCTTCTCTTAATAAAACATTAACTTAAACGCTGTGTAAAGTGTCTTGTATAAGCTCATAAATATTTCTCTACAGCACTTGCAGCCCAGCCTTCACCCACTCTTACTCGTGCACATGGGCCAGAAATTGAAGCCAGCTTGGTCTCCTTTCATTATCGGCCAATGATGCAAAAGGCAACCCAAAAGCCAGGGTGGCTAAATACATAAAATTTAAAAGGGTTTGGCTGCTGAGCACAGTGCTCCCTGACAGACACCCACGTGCTGTCTGCTCAAGTTTTAGAGCTTTTCTTCTTTTTTTTCTCCCCTCTGCCCCCCCGTCAGCCCAAACCAAACAGGAGTGAGGTTAAAAGCACAGGCACACAAGAAAAAAAACCACAAACAATCCACAACTGCTCGTACTTTATAGTTTCTCTCCAACAGCAAACATCCAAAACAACTCCACAGAGATTAACTAACTGAATGCAGAGCAACCTTCCAGAAACCTGGAGAGGGGTCAGCTCTGCAGCGTGTCTAACAAGGGCAGCTCATTTCTTGTAACTGACCCCCGCCCGGGGGATGGTGCTCGCTGCCTCCGGGAACGGGTTTCCCTGCCAGCGGGTGAGCTGGTTGCTGCCCCGGCAGTGGGAAGAGCACAGCATCCCCTTTCTGCGTCACTGCCCGCGCTTGCTCTCCAGGATTGCCTTCCAGTCATCCGCCCAGGACAGCAGCCGCCTGCGTGGTGCCTGCAGCTGGACGTGCCTGTTGTGGCAGCAGGTAAACAGGACGTGCTCCCAGCTCGGGTTCAGCTCTGCGCCTGAGGGGGGCAAGAGAGGAAAGGTGGAGTCAGCTGGGGGGGGTTCCTCCCCAACTAACAGAAAGTGATGCAAATGCCTCTCAAACCTCTAATGGTATCCTTGTCGTCAAACAGCAAGTCAGCAGATACGACGGTCTTATCTCGGGTTAGAATAATCCGCTCCACAAACTCAGGTCCCAAATGTTTTTCTACCCACTTATACTGCGGAGGCAAGAAATAAGATAGGAGAAAATTCTGCTGTACTTCCAGTTTGCACGTTGCTCAAGTCAGATCAGCCCTAGTACAGCAATCTTTTCCCCCATAAACCTACATCTGTGTCTGCGAATCCACGCCACAGAGACTGCCTACGGCCCAGGACACCGATTTAACCTGTACTTTTAACGGCCTTCAGTCAGCACTGCATTTGCTGTGCCTAATCGTTGACGAGTTTGCAAGTGGTGCTGGCTGCTTGCCCGGAGCATGTGGATTGTGCCCATCTAAGTCATTCCAGTGATTAAGGTCTCCCTCTCCATTCTTGCGCCAGTGGCAAACAGGGCTAATTCCAACGCTATAGCCTCCTCTTAACTCGGCATCGGCCTCTTTCAGGATAGCTGGATATCTCAGACTCCGGATTTAGACAGAATAAGGTTTTGTCGGTTGAGGAGCCACCAGTGTGGAATCCCCTGGGAATATCCTATCCCTGTGGGCCATGCTGAAAGCCAAGCTTGCCGTACCCGGCCACGCTACAACAGTTCCTTTGCTATCACCTGCTGACACAGCCGGAGCCCGAGTGTCACACGCCAGCTCCAAGAGCACAGAGCTCATGTGCCCCGCAATAAGGCTGGCATCATGTGGCACTCTGAGATTCCCCATCCTACACTTACTGTGTCTGGGCTCCTGCCCCTCAGACAGAGGGATCGCAGGGAAGCCTGGCAGCCCGTGCCGGCTACTGTCTTTGTAAATGAATTACTGACTTGGGTGGCATGAAATAGCAAGGCCTTGCAAAAGCAGCATTAAAACCAGTAAAATAAATTTTCTCCCACCTTTTCCACGATGCAGTGCTCGTATTTCCGGAGAGGACTTGTGCAAATAAAGACTTCAGTGCTGAAAAGAAACAGCCTTCATTAGCAGTCAGGGGAAAGTGCATGGGATAATAGAAAAGGGCTGCGGAGCGCAAAGTGTCCTTACTCCTGCATGTGGATCATCTCCTGCATAGCTTCAAGGGCTCCTGGAATTGGGTCCAACCCTAGAAAGAAGCCAGGCGATTCATAGACACTGGCTACCTTAGCCTGCAAGAGACAGGAGGACAATTAGCAATGCCCGTGCTTTTATCCGAGCACTGTGCACAACAGTTGTCCAGTTACCCTGTGTGTAACAGCCGTCAAAGGGCCAGCGCTTTAGAAAGAGGGGGGATGCCTCACACCAGAAGTGGATTGTAAAATTTCTCACCTTTTGGGTTCCGGGAAAAGGCACACAAGAACGAGAAGTTACTCCCTGGTGGCTTGTTTGGAGTGAGGAGGCAGAGCTGGTCCTGACCTGGCTTTGTTTCTACAAGCCACTCCATGAGTAGCACCACGAACACAGCACTGTGCTCCAGCTCGACTTGCTGATGTCTGATAGAAGGAGAGCTCACGCCTCACCCCTTCCCAGCAGGTCCCTCTCTACTAACTCTTGTGAAAATCAAAGGAATAAGTTTGAGGCTTCTGCTCCTCTGTCACATTGGACTGAAATTCGCCTATGGCTCAGGAATTTACCAGGGATGAGTGGGTAGACATATGTATCATCTAGTAGCGATCTTCTCCTTCAGAACAAAAAGAGCAATACGGTGACCATGCTAATTACCATCCTCAGTGGAGGGGCCTGGTCAGCACACCCACACATTTGGGGTTAATCCTTTTAGACCAGAACAGCTCAGCAAGAGGGACGGAAGAGGACAGGAGAGCTAGGAAAGCTACGTTTCTTTGCTGCTATCTATAATTTTCAATCACACACTAAAGTAACAATTGTTTAAGGAGCAGATATGGACTTCAGCATGGACTTCAGCATTACCACTCCTCTGTGGTAACGTGTTGGTGCAAAGTCTACTCAAAAGAGTGTGAGACTGCAGCAGGAAATTCAGAAGTGGATCCCTGTGCTGCCCCAAGAACCTTCAGCTCCGTGAACTGACCTGTGCACCCCCACGAGCCCCAGCTGGGCTGGGTTTGGTGGTGGTATGGGTGTGCCCCACCTACCGCTCCCCTCATCTGACTCAGAGCATGCAACCTTAGCAGTGGACTGAGCAGTGCGATTAAGGGGATCACAGCTTTATCCCTTTTCTCTCTGCACCTGCTCTCAGTGGTAAAACCCACCTTCAATACGTGCATGTGGGATGCAATATGAATCAGACAAGTCATTAATGACAAACACGTGGGAAAGGAGGTTTCTCTAAAGTTATAATCATTTTTAAGTGAGTATAAGTAGGAAAGAAACAAGATTACGGGAGGAGCAATGTTTACCCAGGCTAAAGTGGCCAAAAATGGTGCAAAAAGGTAAAAAGAATTTAATATGATACAGTACAGTGGCATCTTTAATCTCTAAAAGGAAAAGTAGTATTTCCAGGGCAATTCCTGTGCCTCTAGGTAAGACCATCCTTCCAGTCCTTTTTTTTTTTTAATTTACTGATAAGACATTCTTGCACCTTTTACTATTAGGAAGTTCACTGGTTTGAATCCAACTCTGGTTAGTTAATTTTAAAAATTGCTACCTGGTGACTGTTCAGTGGCCTGTGTTAAATCTGAGCATTTCACTGCTGGTCACAGCAGACAGCTCCTCTTACCACACAACCATTAATGACAAAGCACCCGCAGCAGCAGCAGCAGCGTCCCAGCAGCATTAAGGGCTGAGTCCACTTCCAGGCCTAAGTTTCATTCTCAGACAGACAGGTTAAGCTTCCAATATCTCTTCTACCCTAAGACACATGAATCTTACCTTCCCTGGGGTCAGACAGTGAACTTCAGAGGTGCCGAGCTAGCATTTTTCCACAAGCATTAAAGTCTTACGTTCCCATGCCACCAAACGATTTGGAAAACTTAGTTCTTGGTAAGTATTCTTCAAAGGCAGGCTGGCAGCCTTTGCTTAGAAATTGTACAAGATTGCTTTACAGTCCAGCTGATGGTCTCCTTGCTCTGTATCACCAGTGGAACATCAACATAAAAACATTTCAATTAAACAGCAATGAGGAGTCAGCATTAAACAAGTCTCCCAGATCACCGTGCTCACTCAGCTACCATAATTTACAAATATAAATCAACAGTCAGAAATTTGGAAACACTGCCTGATTTCACATGCAAATCAGAAGAGGTTAAGGAGTCTCGGTGAGGATGTGGCAATCAGATCTGCCCAGATCTCTGTTTCCATGCAAAGCCTCACTGATTCCAGCAACAATTCCCTGAAGCTCTTCCCAAGGAGATTGAATTACAGAATCAGGGCTTGTGTCTGAAAGCTCTTTTATCCTACAGCAAGACACCAGAAACTGGCAAGTGTCCACCACATCACTAAAGTCTGACTTTGCTGGAAGAAGAAATTTGATTAGATGACTCTTAGAACCAAAGTCCATTTGTCAAAAAAAAAAAAAAAAGGTTACTAGAAAAAGAAAGTAAAACCATTTTCTTTCCTCATTCTTATCTCATCGTTGCTGAATGTTTGCTTTTAACTTCCATTAGCAACATAACAACTTAAGATTCAAAACTGGAGGAATTACATCTATCCCTAAGCTTTCCCATTTGCAATACTTAAAATAATTCTAGAAATTCTTGCCTCTGCTGGAGATGTTGAATCCTTTTCTGAAACTGCCTGGGGCCAGGTAACACATCCTAAACGCTTGGGAGATAAATCCCCATCAACAAAATTGCTACACACACAGGAGGCCAGATACTACAGGCAAGTACAGTAAAGAAAGTCTTGAGCAAAATACTTTCTAAATAAAACGGATTTACAATGTGAAATTAATGATCAACTTACAATCAAAAAAGAAAGAAAAAACAAAGCAATGGCTTAAGTTTCAAGAGGCAGCTGCTCAGCACTAACAAAGCATAAACACCACTTAGTAAGCGGGCAATGCATACATCATTACCACAGTACTTCACACACCCCCTGTCACGAGAGTATCTCAACACACTGGCTGTTCATGGACAGACATAGCAGACACCTGCCACGAAGAGCTCTGTCGGGCTGATCCCCCTCCTTTCAACGGCTGACAAACTGCAGATTCGGTTTCTCTGCGCAGACAGGCGGCCGGGCAGACCCCGTGCACCGCCGGCGCAGGACGGACACGCCGCTCTCGGGGTCTCGC